TCTTTCTTCTTGTTTAAGAATAGTTTTTATTGTCTGTATTCCACTACAGTGTATATAGTATCACATTTGTTTTCATTGTATTTTTGACAAATGATTCCTTCTGATTGTGTGCATGTTTGTTTACTCAGCAGCTACATCTCTACATTAGTCAGTGGGGGACTGTCTTCAAGAGAAAACATCCATTATTACAGTCAAGAGGAAATCCTGACGTTTAACAGCCTCGATTACAGGTATTTACATCAGATGGGCTTGATGTGACATTTCAGATCACTGTGTTGCTCCTGTAGGTTTTTTTTTTTACAGAAAACTGAATTTAAGAACAAAGGAACATGTCTGTCTGTCTCTTCATATCACTGTCCCCTTCTCAAAGCACTGTTAGTCATGTGTTTTAGTAAAACCACGTAAATATAAGACTAAATAAATACAGACACACACACACACATTCTAAACCGAGTATCCTTCTGGGTCACAGGCTGGAGCCTATCCCAGCAGTCATTGAGCGAAAGCAGACTAAATAAAATAGGAATGTTTGTTAGTGTGAAATGATGTTGTAAAAAACAGTACATAGTTAATATTGCTGTGTTTAATATGAAGTTATTGGTTGAGAGAGAGAGAAAGAGAGAGAGAGAGAGAGAGAGAGAGAGAGAGAGAGAGAGAGAGAGAGACAGTGAAAATCTGTTTGACTTTGTAAGCAGAGTTGAAGCAAGAGCTCTTATGTTTTTCTACAAAAATCAACTCATACAACTCTCTCTCTCTCTCTGTGTGTGTGTGTGTGTGTGTGTGTGTGTGTGTGTGTGTGTGTGGATGGCTGTATCAGAGGAACTCTCCCTGTGGTGATTGACACCTAGACATCTGGTCTACTTATTTTAGACTGTAATTATATTGTTTTATTTCCACTTGAAAATAAGTCCAACATTGACCAACATTGTGTCCTTAAACAGCCTGTCTGAGTTATTTAGTTCTCCCTGTAGAGAACTGTGTTACAGAACCTGGAAAGAGCCTGTTTACTTCAGTGAGATTTGCTCTGTGGTCAGTGTACACCTCGAAGTATGCATCCCCTTCATTTCCAAGTCTGAACTGTGGACAAATGAGACACCTGCTTATTACTCAAACTGCCTTGTGTGCTCATGTGTCTGAACAGCACTTAAGTTCATAATTAAGCCTAAGACCTTAATATTAATGTTCATACTTTAGGTAATAAACGTTCACCAACGCAAATACCAAACTCAACCATACACCCACAGAGGACTCGCGTGTTAAGAACATATCACATATCATCATGGAACATCTTCAACTCAGTGGTCATGACAGAAGCCAAGCTTCTGCTTCACTTGAACATCACAGACATAAGATTTGATTGTAGTGTTTCCACTTGTGGTGATAAGAAAAGCAAGTTCATCAATTTAAAAGCTTTGGCCCCCTCAGGAAAGCATGAAGAGGGCAGTTAGATGCTGAGGAATTATCAGTGAAGAAGTTTTTGTAGTGAAGTGTTAAACATTAAGTGTGTTTTTCTCATTGGCTTCACCGATAAAGATGCAATTTCAGAACTTGGAAGGTTGTGACATCATTTTATTACAGGATGAATGTGACATCATATTTCACATGTTGTTTATGGGTTTGTGTTGTCATAGTGCTGTTTAGAATTGTTTGAAATCTAGCATTTTTTTATTCAAGACTAGTCTTTTAAAAATACTTTTTAAATAATATACTTTACAGCATTGCTGTTGAGCTGTTGATGATGCATTTTATATCAGTACAAGCAAACGGTTAAACAGCCTTTTTTAAAAAAAGGATCAACAGATTGAGGGAATCATAGAACATACTGGCATTCAGTGTTGATTATGTGGCTCAGATGTGCTGTGAGATGGCATGAAAGATTTGTTGACTAGATCAGAATATTTTTACATGAGTTCTTTAACTGCACATTGATAAACACAAAGAGAGTGTGACTGAGTGGCACAGGTTTAAAGGAAGTTCTTATTTGTCTAAAATGTGAGATATAACCATTCAATGGGGTACAATTATTCAGATCATCATTATAAAATAATAAAATATTAGATCTTCCACCACTGTACTCCATGAAAATATGGATCAACAATAATCCACAGTACATTAACAGCAATAAACAGGTGTTTATGACAGGGCTGTATTGATATACTTTTTTGCATTAAAAAATATATATAAATACATTCAGGGAGTGTTTAGCTACTTTAATATTTAAGATGATGTACACAGTAGAGGAGAGTTGGGGTGAAACCAAATACAAAGTCCAATTTACCTTAAGTCAATTGTCAAGTAGAGACAGAAAGCCACATTTTAGACTATATTTTTGCACAATGAAAACAACACATATTATAGATGTCATGTTAATAAGTATTTCAGTTTTGTCATGCTGATATTTGCTGTTCTATTTTGTCATAAAACATAAATGTGAGACAAAATTGAACTGAATTATGATTATTGTGAATATGACTCAAAGCCTTAAACACATATATTTACCTCTTGCCTCTTCACAGTGTAATAGGTTGTCTGCACTCTCTACAGCAGAGCATACTGCATTTTGATTGGTTAAAAATGTCAGGCTGGAGTAGTTGAGGGTAAACTAAAAGAATACTACAGTGCAGTTTCCAGGAAAGGAAAGTAGAGCACAATGTTTCTCCATTCACTTCTGTTTTTTACAGCACTCACAGGTAGGATCAACAAGTGTCATTTACTCTTTATACCTTTAAACATTATATATGTATGTCAAATGATACTTCAAAGTTTTTGAGGTGTTTTCATGAAAACAGGATTTCAGTTGTTCTCAAATATTACAAATATGTAATTTGTGAATCAATATGAAAATCATTTTCAGGTTCCAGCATTCAAGACAGTATTACTCCTACATCTTCTGCTGTCAGTGGTAAAGAGAAGCAAACTGTTAGACTCTCCTGTAATTATGAATACAAAGTGTCTATGAACAATCTACAGTGGTATCGGCAAAATACCAGTGCTGCATTTGAGTTCCTTGTTTTAGTGATGGAATCAGGCCAAAATCAGACTGCAGATCCTCCTCATCCTCGTTTATCTACTGAAGTTCATGAGAATATAAAGCGTCTGGATCTGATGATCTCGTCTGCTGAAGTATCAGACTCTGCACTCTACTACTGTGCCCTGCAGCCCACAGTGACAGGAAACCCAGCTACACTGTACAAAAACCTGTGTAGATCTGTCAGCTCAACTCAAATTACATATAGTCTACAGACTGTGTGGCTACAATAATAAACCCTTGAATGCTTTACACAGAAGAAGAAGATGCTAAGAACATAGTGTTGTTTATCAAACAACGTATCTCAAATGAATACAAAGTGTCATGACTGTATATAGAAAATGTGGACATAAGTCATCCACCACAAGGTGGCAGCTCTATAATGTTACTTCATCTCAGTTCCTCTCCAGAAAACTTCTACATTCCCACAGTGTCAGAATGAAAACATCCCTGAAAAGGGAAATGATTTTGGTCTGTATTTTACTGGAAACTATTTCAAATTAAATGACCTCCTTTCTTGGTAAGTTTCTTGGTAAGAACTGATCATCCTAATCATCCAGCAATGATGCTTTTAAGCTCATCCTGAACAGACTCCATGTTAGTGAAGGACATAATAAATGTGGTTTTAGAAGGAACAGATTTAAAGCACATTATGATTTTTCAACAAGCTTATTATCACTGATGATCCAGAACCTCCATGTCTCTGTAGTGTAATACTGTGCTGTGAAAGCTGCTGTGAATATGACATTCAGACTCACAAATGCCATTCACAAACTTTAATCTCTGAAACTTTCTTGTCTACAGGTGAGATTCTAGTAAGACATGAAGGACCTCTGTAACTGATATTGCTGAGAAGAAGAGTTTTAGTATTATTTAATCACACATTGACTAAAGATCTTAAAAGAAACAAATGAAGCAGAACTATTGATTTTGAATGAAATACATTATTCTGTTTAATATTAGTCTTCATCATTGTCTCATCATTATAGTGATAAGACCACTTGCCTGGCTCTTCATGCAGTGAATGTGACTTCTTAATTTGTATTATGACGATGAATCAAGATGACCTCTTTTAGGCAGTAAACACTACCATATAGTACAATACTGACACTGCATAGTTTATATACAAATTGTGCTGATCGAACACAAGAGGGCAGCAGTGATGTGAGCATGATGTGAGCACAGCTGAGAATCTGCTCAGAGGCTGAGCTTCTGTTTATTTCAGTTCAGATAAGAAACAATAGCAGAGAGTTTAAGAGTAAAAATACTGAGACTGTTCTTAACAATGGATCATCTGGTGAAAATAGCAGTTCTGTCAAGTGCACTGTATTCTGGTAAGAGGTTGTTATTTGCATTAAAATTACATGGGGAAAAAAGCATTACTTTCAAAGTCATTCTTTTGCTATTGTCATTATTTCTTATTTTTTCAGTCTGCAGGGGACGAGACTCTGTTGAACAATCTACAGAATTAATGACTGCTACTGAAGGAGATGCAGCAGTTTTAAACTGCAAGTACAGCACTGCTGATCAGTCACCGTATCTCTTCTGGTACAAACAACAGAGTAAAGCATCTCCTCAGTTTGTTCTGATGAATTTAACCTTTGGACAAAGACACACTGGACTGGAGTTTAAAGACAGATTTAGTGCAACTTTATATTCCAATTCCAGTTTAGTTCCACTGACAATCCAGAATCTGCATGTTTCTGACTCTGCTGTGTATTACTGCACTTTGATGTCCACTGTGGTAGCAACAAGTTCACCCCTCATACAAAAACGTCAGATGGAAGTGAATCTGTTGACTGCAGTCACTATTTTAAGAGAATAGTCAAATTGGAAAAGCAATTTCATTGTTTCTTTTTTCACTTGAAGAGTGAAGATCTGTGCTGTTATGCTGCAACACAAGCACTTCCTGACTTACTTCCTTATGTGAGTTCAGCACATATATCACCACTATTATACAGACAGACTTCACACAGCTCTGTTCCAAAATGCCTCAACTATACAACTTACTGCACATGAGGAGATACATACCACTGATTATCACTGTAGCATCAGGTAATGAACTGCTAATTGATGTCCATGTATTTCAGTGTCTCTGCCTTTTTAAAAACTTCAGAATTACACATTTACTCTTTTTTCATAATTCAGGTGTATTTGCAGATACAATTGGACCGAGGGAGGAAGATGGCAACATTATCAGTAAAGAAACAGACATTGTTACTTTGAAATGTTCTTACGAGTCAACCAGCAATGACATTTTGCTTTACTGGTTCAGACAGCGCTCTAACAGAGCACCACAGTATTTACTGTACAGAGGCGCAAAGTCATATAGCAGCTACAAGAGCACTCCTGCTGACACTCGACTCGAGGCAAAAACAACTGATACATCTACTGAACTTACTATCAGTGGCCTAAAGCTCACAGACACTGCGCTCTACTACTGTGCTCTTAGAGTAGGCCCAGTGATACAAAGTCCCTGAGAGGCTGTACAAAAACTCACAGGCGTATATGAAGCTCCTCAAACCACAGAAGATCAAAGTTATTTCTTTATCACACTTTGTTATCAGTGAAGAACAATCACTGATAACATTTGTGGTAACACCTGCAGCTGGGGAAAAAGAAAAAAAAAGAAAAGAGAAAAGAACATTTGAGTGTTTAAGAATCAGTACAACAAGCTAGTCTCTCTAAATTCAAACATTCAGTCACAAAAAATTACATTTACAATAAAAAAATACCATCATGTTAAACTCACCTCAGTAGTCTCAGCCTTTCTCATTGCATGAGATTGACTTACTTTAAGTGGGGGTCCTTCACTTGCCAGGAAAGTGAGTTTACTGTATTCTGTGAGATTATTCAGACCTCACAGTGAGGCTGTATGCCAGTGGAACAGACCATCAACCCTGGGTCAGCTGTGTCCATCCTGCCAAAACACACATGTAAAAAGCACTTTTAGAACATTTCCATCCAGTCTGATCCCAGTGTTAGGCTGTTTGTCTGAATGACTCTTTAAGACTGACATGATCAACACTTGGTCTCTGTGGACATTTCAGATCATTGTGGTCCATTCAGGAGGAAATTGATTTTGCATGTGTTGATCTGAGAGATTCAAACATAGCAACAACAAAACTGATAGCTATCCCATCTTTCCATGGAAGAAATAATAGTGATACTACAAGGTCCTGTAGTCTACTCCATAATTATTCAGCACAATCTTAAACCCAACAGCAGCCAGTTACATGATGTAATACTCCAGCACAAGCACTTCCTGGGTGGGAGTCTAATTGTAAATGTAAAGAGCTAAACACAGAGACCATCTTCATACACAGAGACCACTGCGCTCCAGAATGGCTCAAAGACGCATCAAACTGCACATGGAGAGATGTATAACACTTTATCTCATTGCAGCTTCAGGTAAAATAATAGTTAATGTACATTAGCTTGACCTGTAGTTACTAATGATTCAATATGATGTTTCAGTGTGTTATTCAATATATACTTTTTTCTTCTTAATTCAGGTGTTTTTGCAGATTCAATTGGTCCGATGGAGGAAGATGCCAACATTGTTAGAAAAGAAGCAGACATTGTTATTCTGAAATGCTCATACGAGTCAAGCAGTACTTACATTTGGCTTTACTGGTACAGACAGCGTGTTAATGAAGCTCCAGAGTATTTACTGTATAAAGGAGCAAAATCACGCAGCTGGGACCAGAGTACCCCCAGTGACCCTCGACTTAAAACAACAACAACTGATACATCTACTGAACTTCGTATCAGTGGACTAAAGCTCACAGACTCTGCACTCTACTACTGTGCTCTTAGAGTAGACCCAGTGATACAAAGTCCCTGAGAGGCTGTACAAAAAGTTATTTCCTTACTACACCATGATATCAGTGAACCACAAACCCAGATAACAACACTGCTAACACCTGCTGCTGGAACAAATAGGAAACAAAGTAAAGTGGTGTTTTGAGTGTGTGTGTGTGTGTGTGTGTGGTGTGTTTAGTGTGCGTGGTGTGCGATCATGATGTAAGAACAATGTCCAAAAACTGTGGAGTGATGTGGAATCATCAGCATTCCAGATCTGGACATGTTGCTGTGTAGTGAGGCTACACATGCGCAAAAAAGATTCTCTACTAACTACAGTATCTAAAAAATAAATTAATAAAACAAAGACCAAAATTGCACCATTAAAATCTACTGTTCTTGTCTGCACCTGCATGCTGCAACATCATGGCCACCCTTATCCACCTGTTTTATCCGTACCCAATGACAAAAAAAAGAAGAAAATCATGCTTCATTTTAATGATGGTGGCTACAAAAATCTGACCCTGCCTTTCCAAACTTTACAACTTTACTGTGGTACATACCAGAAGTAAGTAAGTAAGTAAGTAAAGTTTATTTATATAGCGCTTTTTACAACAGGTGTTGTCACAAAGCAGCTTTACAAGGAAATGAGCATTACAAAAAGAAATCCGGGTCCAAACCCCCATGAGCAAGCCAGTGGTGACAGTGGCAAGGAAAAACTCCCTAAGAGAAACAGGAAGAAACCTTGAGAGGAACCAAGACTCAGAAGGCGAACCCATCCTCCTCTGGTCGACACCGGATAGTAGACATTGTTAGTATAAAGTATTATAGTACAAAAACAGGGTAAAGGTGAAGGAAACAATTAATTTGAATAGTTTAGTTCATGCAGCAGCAGCGGCATCAGCAGCAGCATCAGTGGGGTCAGGTTGTGAGGGTGAGGTTTGCACGGCGAGCAGTGGCACCCGATCAAGGCAGAAGAGGCAGCAGCATCAGACGCACAGGATGGGCAGCTGTTCAACTCGGCAAAGGAAAGAAAGGAAAAACACACAGAGTCAGTTCTGCAATGGGTGATTGATTAATTTGAATTAGTTTAAATGATTGATTGGTTCAAGTGAATCATTTTGATTAGTTCATGTAGCAACAGCAGTAGTATCAGGTTGTGAGGGTGAGGTTTGCACGGCGTTGTACAGCAGGAGGCTCAATGTTGCAGTGGCACCTGATCAAGGCAGAAAAGGCAGCAGCATCAGAACGCACAGGATGGGCAGCTTGTTCAACTCGGCAAAGAAAAGAAAGGAAAAACACACAGAGAGGAAAACACACAGAGAGTCAGTTCTGTAATGGGTGTAATGGGGAAAACTAATTACCAAAGGCTTGACTATACAAGTACGTTTTTAGCTTAGACTTAAACACTGAGGCTGTGTCTGAGTCCCGAACATTAACAGGAAGACTATTCCAAAGCCGGGGGGCTTTGTATGAGAAAGCTCTCCCCCCTGACGTAACTTTATTAATTCTGGGTACTAATAGTAAACCAGCACCTTGTGATCTAAGTAGGCGTGATGGTTCATAGAGAGAAGTTCATTCAGGTACAGAGGGGCGAGTCCGTTTAGAGCTTTATAAGTCAGTAAGAGAATTTTAGAATCAATCCGAAATTTAACTGGCAACCAGTGTAAGGCTGATAAAACTGGGCTGATATGGTCGAACTTTCTGGTTCTTGTAAGGACTCTGGCTGCAGCGTTCTGGACCAACTGAAGCTTGTTAAGGCTTTCGTTGGGACATCCAGCCAGCATTACAGTAGTCTAGCCTTGAAGTAATAAATGCATGAACTAACTTTTCTGCATCCTGTAGAGATAATGCATTTCTCAATTTAGCAATATTGCGGAGATGCAGGAAGGCTGTTCTAGTAATATTGGTTATATGTGCGTCAAAGGACAGAACAGGGTCTATAATGACACCAAGGCTTTTTACAGATGAGCTTGATGCAACTGAGAAATTGTTAAGAACCAGAGTGCATTTCTGACTCTGCTTAATAAATGCAGTTATTTAGCTTTCAGTATCCCTTTTTTCATTTGTAAACTCCAACAGTCTGAAACTGGCATTGTGGGAACACTCAGCTACAGCACATTAACATTAGAACTAAACTAAGTCATGCTTTGTGTGGAATTAGGATAGGCTTCAGGCCTAGATTAGGCCCCACACTGGACTACAGAAATATATTCACTAGAGAATCACTGTTGGCACTGTCAAGTGGTCTTTATTGTCATTCCTCACTAATCTGTACATTGGAATGAAATGTTGATCTTCAGGCTCACAGTGCAACACACAAAAGCAGCACATTACATTGCATTTAGTTGAAGAACAGATGTAATGCATGTATGAGAAATCCAGTGTTTTGCACAGTCTACTAAAAAAGAAGATTCTTGATCATTTAGATTTGCTGACACAGAGATATACAGCTGAAGTATATATATACATATATTGAGGAACAACTCCAAAGACTTTAAATCTCCTGAGACACACCTACCTTGTTGATACAGCTTGTAGAGTATTGATACAGTTAGGGCTGATTTATATCTATGTGTGTTAATCGTCCTCTAGCCCTTCATCAGTGGACCACTGCTAGCTGGATATTTAGATTGGTAGACTTTTTTTAGCTGAATATTTAGATTGGTAGACTTCAGCTCCACTGCTGTGCTGAGAATGGTCCACCAACCAAAAGATATCTGTTTAGCAATCCAGTGGTGGTCCCTGTCCATTGAAGAAAGTTATAGATTAGGATGATAACTTGGCAGCAATATATGGACCGCAATCAATTATTGTAAACCTACAAAGTGAACCTAAATGGTAGGTGTTTCTAATAAAATGTCTAGTGAGTTTAAGTAGAAAGTATGTGTAGCCAATAAGCTGGCAGTTCAGTGAAAATAAAGCTTTAAACTTACATGATTACAAACTCATACACTTCAGACTATCAATAAAAAGAAGGCAGAGAGTAAAACTAAAAACAACAATAACAAAAAAACAAAGATGACATTTTAACTGTTATTAAAAATAAAGAAACTATTTTTGTCAGCTGTGAAATTAAAGAACTGTGTTATTCTCCTGATTTGCATCCTCTGTTCTTATATCAGATCCACTGACAAATGTGGGAGGAGTCTTTACAAGCTTAAACAGTAGAACTCTAGAAGTCTCTCCTCATTATCTGACCACTGGAACCACCATGATGTTTCTGAGTTCTCTGACTGTGTTTCTGATAATAGTAGGTATGCATGGCACATTTATATGTAGGTGAAATGTGTGCTTAATCTATTTTTTAAAACTTTTACAAATTAAAATACTAAATGCAACTTTTAAATTATTTATTTACTTATTTGTTTATTTATTTGTATTATTTTAATTTTTAAAGGGAACTGTTCTGCACAGTCAATATCACCACTGAAGAAACAACACTCAGGTTGCCCTTAAGGATGAGACAGTTAATCTCTCCTGCAATTATGATAGTTATGTCCAAACTCTGCAGTGGTATCGTCAGTATCCTGGATCCAGACCAGAGTATTTATTGCTAATTGTTCCAGGATCAAAAGATGAGAGCCATGCATGACTGAAAGCTAAAGTGGATGTAAATGTGAAAAGAGTGGATCTGTTGATCTCCTCTGCTGCAGTATCAGACTTTGTACTCTACTACTGTGCCCTGAGGCCCACATTGACAGGAAACCCAGCTACACTGTGCAAGAAGTGTTTCATATGACTCCTGTGATAGCTCCTGCACTACCACTGGGCACCATTGCTACCACTGGGCACCATTATCAGTAAACACAGCATAAATTTCCACTGTTATGCTGATGACACTCAGTTATATTTAGCAAGTGAACCGGACGATAAAATTAAACTTGGCAAGATTGAGGACTGTATAAAAGACATAAAAGCCTGGATGTCAAGTAATTTTCTCCTTCTTAACTCGGATAAAACAGAGGTTCTACTTCTTGGTCCAAAAGCAGCTAGAAACAAACTGTGTAATTTTACACTTAAAATTAACAATTTCTGTAAAAAATCTTCGTGTCATGATAAACCCTGATCTGTCCTTCGATGCACATATAACCAATATTACTAGAACAGCCTTCCTGCATCTCCGCAATATTGCTAAATTGAGAAATGCTTTATCTCTACAGGATGCAGAAAAGTTAGTTCATGCATTTTTTACTTCAAGGCTAGACTACTGTAATGCCCTACTGGCTGGATGTCCCAGCAAAAGCCTTAACAAGCTTCAGCTGACAGAATGCTGCAGCCAGAGTTCTTACAAGAACCCGAAAGTTCGACCATATCAGCCCAGTTTTATCAAACCTACACTGGTTACCTGTTAAATTTCGCATTGATTATAAAATTCTCTTACTGACTTGTAACCTGTAAACGGACTCACC